GGGTTGTGGGCCACTCCCAAATCCAAGCAAGTACCTTTTCTTCTGTCCAAGCACTTGCCTTGAAATCTCCTCTTGTGTCAATGGCGTCCCCGACTTGATGGCAGCCGCTTGTACATTGACCATCTCTTGCTGTCATTTCAAATAAATAAGACGCAAAAAACTTTGGCAACATATATGTATTATTGGGTACTAAGTACAAGAAAATATTGAATACATATATTTCCTTGTCACATACTTACATGCAGCTCACGGCATTTCGGATGGATCCAGTTATTCGTTTTCTTTGAAGTGTGGCTGTCCTCATAGAACTTTGGGAAATCCAACTCTCCATCTTTTGCTACCTGTTAACACATCAATGTATAAATCAACGACACTTTATGCACCAAATAGACAAATTTCCATGAACAGATCTTTAAACAAATTGCTGGACAGATTTGGAGACAGATTTTTAGACAGATTTGCTGCCAGATTTTCAGACAGATTTGCAGCCAGATTTGGAAATAGAGGCAGCACTATTCTAGTTCGAATTCAAAGAGATTATCATTAACAGATTTATATTTTCCAACAGATTTTTGCCAACACATTTGTTCAGAATTTCTCAAACAGATTATGTCCAACAGATTTTCGCACATAGCCACTTATAATCACTTCAGATTATGTGTATTATAACATGTGTATGTACAGGAATATCTGTTTTTTGTGAATGTATTAACTTAAATCTAAAACAAATAGAGCTAAAAGACTAATGATCTTAAGTGAAAAACAGAGTATAGTTTAGATTTTGGGCAGTATATATAGTTCAGATTGTGTATTATAGTGTAGACAGATTTAGTTCAGATTGTGTATACTGTATTATAGTGTAGTATAATGTAGACAGATTTATAAATCTAAACTATACACAATCTGTATTATAGTTTAGACAGATTTTTAGAGTATAGTTTAGATTTTGTAGTATAGTGCAGTATATATAGTTCAGATTGTGTATTATAGTGTAGACAGATTTATATATACTGTATTATAGTGTAGATAGATTGTGTATTATAGTATATTATAGTGTAAACAGAGTATAGTTTAGATTTTGCGAGACAGATTTCGAATGAAAGACAGAGTATAGTGTAGACAGATTTAGAATGCAAACATGTGGCAAGGGTATCATTAATAGATTTTTTCCAGACAGATTTTTTGCAGACAGTAGATGTTTACTAACAGAGTTTAACATATATATATATATACATATGTGTAGCAGAACAGAACATTTTTCATATCCAAACAACATATAATGGATTCAAGTTTAAAAAAAATCGAACTCACCATAGCAGCTATTGCGATAGGAAATGAGTGAGACCCATTGGTATGATTGTACGGCAATTGACTCCTATTACTCTTGCCAGCTTTTGATCGTTTCTAAAAATAAGTCAAGCAGATAAACAATTTTTTGGTCAATATTAAGGCATATCACATTTTCACATAGATGTATGTACTCTATCTAGTCTATTATTTTACCTGGTGAGATGCATCTTGCCATGCCACATCGATCAAATGCTTCCAATTATCTAAACTCACCCCTACGGGCGGATGACCATAGATCTCATCACGTGGAAGTCCTTCTAACAATTCGAACTCTTGCTTCAAGGTGTACCTCCAATCTTTGTACAACCCATAGGCCTTCTTATTCACAATCTCCTGTGCTTGTAAGTCATTGTGGAAATCGTCTCCAATTTGAAACTTGTCCTACATGCAAAACAAATTGAAATAGTAATCATTACATATTAGTCTTTCTTATTACTCACATAATACAATTACATATTGTGGACAAGTAATATTAGTTACAAGAACTCCTTGGATGACGGCAGCTTTAGTAGTCTCATCAAGATCCAGCCATGACTTCACATCTTTCAAAGGGCACAAGGTTCTAATTTGAATTCCTAACTCGTTAGTTGCTGGAGTGGCATACTTGCCAGTCATTGCATTCAACCCACGATCGATGTGAACATAACATTTTTCCCCTTTTTTGGCTCTAATTATTTTTTGTATGCCCTTGCCAAGTGTCGGTCCGCGTACACGTAGGGGCTTCGAAGTCCTTGTTAACAACATAACATCATGAAAATTGCCTAAAATTTGGCTACAAAAAAACAATGGCAATGGCATGTGCTAATTGACAAATTTTATACACTTTAATCTTACCTACGCCACTTAGTTGCGTTTCGGATGGGGCTTGTGTCTCATCAGAATCAACCATTGGTTGGCTAGTTACATGATGAGATGGTCCCACATTTGATCAGACGGGTAGAACAGGAGATGGAGCAATGGGTGATCCTAAAGGAATAGCAGCTGGCGAGTCTGTTTCTGGCTGCGTGAGTGTCTTCTTCCGAAGCCGACTAGTCTTTAAGCCAGGAACCATTTTCCAATCTGCAATAACACAAGTAACACTATATACATGAACTAGACAAAAATAATGCTTGATTATTGCAGACAAAAATAATACATGAACTATACAATAACACAAGTAACACCATTTTCCATTTTCCAATATGCCATGATATGCCTGCTTTAAAATAAATTAGACAAAAATAATTTAGAAGGCATGAACTAACTCAACTAATTTAGAAACTGAGAAGTTCATTAGAAGCACCCCCAAATTCATACAGATACAAGGATGAGCCAGAGCTCAGGCAAAGTTCCATCCTCTGGTACTATCTTGCAATGCATTGCATTTGTTTGCATCAACTACGCCAACCAATAAAAACTGAAAAAGAAAATACATTGCCTACCTAAACTAAGCTCTAAAAAAACCTGCACTTCTCAACATATCTAAAGCAGGCAACAGTTTTTCTTAGGCATATGATTCATGAAAATCTAGTATTCACAACTTCAGAGGAAAGATCAAAGTACAATTCAAGTAACTAAACTACCTCAACAGATATTCAGCAGCTTTGGCTCCTGTATCTTTTGAAATTAGCTAATCAAGAAGCACTTGATGATCATAGTGTAACTGCAAACAAGTTAGGAGTGCATGTATTACTTTATTTAATAACTTCGCTTGGTAAGTGAAGAATAGAACATAGAGGCATTTTATTTGTATCAACGAAATAAAAGTATATACATTGGGATAAGAAGTCTTAGTTGTTCCCATTATCTATAAATATTGAACTTGCCTCTGCAAGAAAAAGATGGAATAAGTGTATGGGGTTGAAAAGGTTTGAAACATGAAAAAGCATATCATCACATCTGTCTTGGCAGACCCTACATACAAACAAAAATCAAGATCCAGCCATGACTTCACATCTTTCAAAGGGCACAAGGTTCTAATTTGAATTCCTAACTCGTTAGTTGCTGGAGTGGCATACTTGCCAGTCATTGCATTCAACCCACGATCGATGTGAACATAACATTTTTCCCCTTTGTTGGCTCTAATTATTTTTTGTATGCCCTTGCCAAGTGTCGGTCCACGTACACGTAGGGGCTTCGAAGTCCCTGTTAACAACATAACATCATGAAAATTGCCTAAAATTTGGCTACAAAAAAACAATGGCAATGGCATGTGGTAATTGACAAATTTTATACACTTCATTCTTACCTACGCCACTCGGCTGCGTTTCGGATGGGGCTTGTGTCTCATCAGAATCATCCATTGGTTGGCTAGTGACATGATGAGATGGTCCCACATTTGATCGGACGGGTACAACAGGAGACGGAGCAACGGGTGATCCTAAAGGAATAGCAGCCGGCGAGTCTGTTTCTGGCTGCGTGAGTGTCTTCTTCCGAAGCCGACCAGTCTTTAAGCCAGGAACCATTTTCCAATCTGCAATAACATAAGTAACACTATATACATGAACTAGACAAAAATAAGTCCGCTTGATTATTGCAGACAAAAATAATACATGAACTAGACAAAATTAACACAATAACAAAAATAATACATGAACTACACCATTTTCCATTTTCCATTTTCCTATATACATGAACTACACAAAAATAAGTCCGCTTGGTTCATGCATATAGCAATAAAGAACTGTTTGTAGTTCAAGCACGTGTCCGTTAGTGGTTCATCAGAGGTGCTTGAGCTCTGCACCCAGCTTTGATGACAGTGGGAAATTTTACTGCCCTTTTTGTGCATATTCTCATGCAATTTTGAAGTACTTTGAAGTCAAGAAAAAGGCGTCTTTAGCTAGGAAAGATCTCGCTGCTTTCATTGGATTGGAGAATGGACATCGGGCAAACAAACTTTGTAAGAGATTTCTTAGATCAGAGCAAAATCAGTTGAGACGAGATGACAACGTGAATGGAAACAATCAAACAAACTACAATGGAAACCATGTAGATGAAGTCAATAGTTCTCAATACAGAGAAAATGTAGAAGCTAAGCAACAAGCAGAACCTTCAGTATCAGGCTTTAATGGCAATCTATCTTGTCGAGAAGGTGGTGTGACCGTAAATGATGGAACACTTGCGGAGACACAACAGATTGATGAACGGTCTGGTTCTAAGCTTCATGAAGATAATCCATCTTGCAGAGACGCAGAGATTGTCGATGTGACCAAGATACTTGCTGGAGATGGAAAGCAACAGGAAGTTTTACAACAACCGATTACTGATTCAACCCAAAAAGCTGCATGTCCACCGAATGCTGACGCAGAGGAAAGTTCTGAAGAAGAAAATGATTAGTATTAAATTGGTATTAAAGTTCTGAAGAAGAAAATGATTAGTATTAAATTGGTATTAAAGTTCTGAAGAAGAAAATGATTAGTATTAAATTGGTATTAAAGTTCTGAAGAAGAAAATGATTAGTATTAAATTGGTATTAAAGTTCTGAAGAAGAAAATGATTAGTATTAAATTGGTATTAAAGTTCTGAGGAATAAAATGATTAGTATTAAAATGCTGCATGTCCACCGAATGCTGCATGAAAAACGTACAAATCTCGGGCTCTATCAAATTAGTATTAAATTGATTATATACCATGTGTTGCTTACTGTTGCTTGGCACCAAAGGACACGAGAAACCGTTGCAAAAGCACTTCAAATAGGATATCGTCCTACAAATCAACAGTAGACAAGAAATTAGGATATAGCAGGTCTAAAGAAAGGCACATATTCTACGAACAAGAAATTAAACGATTAATAAATTAATATAACCATTCAAGCTACACGAGCAACTATATAAACTGAACTTAGGTTGACCCGTAGACTGCCTATCAATAGCAAAAAATATTCTGTGATTTTTTATCAAACTGAACTTAGGATATAGCAGGTCTAAACTATTTTTTATCAAATGCTCTTTTGCTTTTTTAAAGTCAATGTCCATGTTCTCTCAATAGCAAAAAATCTTCTAAAATGGTAAAGAAACAATACTCAAGAAAACCAACAACAATGACTTCAATAATGCAAAAACGACAAGAAATAAATTTTAAAAAATGACAGGTGTCCGTTAAACTAGACTATGTGACAAGAACAATAGTAAATTCTGACAAAAAAATACAAGTTGTCATGTAAGAGATATAGTCTGTGAATTTTCTTTCTTTCTTATTTTTGACAAGTATGATGGCCTATGATTTTATCAAACTTATAATCCCAGGCATATCAGACTGGCAAACGAGGATTCAGTAGCTGACCCTAAAGTGATCAAAGCCAGACTGTTCAAAATCTGTTCAAAATCTGTACACATACATATTACAATTGAATTCAAACTAACCTTTCCAAACTAACCCTTCCTTCATTTATTCATGGTTAACTCTTATTCTAATCTCTATCTACAAAACCATAAAATAACAACAACAAAGCATAAACAGAGCAGAGGCAGCCCCAAACTTGAACCCAACAACATCCACACAGTAGCAGCACAACAAAAACCCATTGCAAAACAGAGCAGCAACCAGACAAAACCAGCTTTACAGCCATACCAGCCATACCAGCATAGCTGCAGCCAAACAAATGCAGACCAGCTCAGAGCTTCCTATATCAGATGCATTCCACCAAAAGGCAAGATTCAGTTACATTCCACCAGCACACCCCATAGTAACCCATTACACAAACTGCCATGCTGACCATTAAATACACCAACCATTCAGATCTTCAATGAATGCAGGTTTAACTGGGCTCAACTCACAATCTGACCAGCATAGCTGCAGCCAAGCAAGATGCAGACCAGCACCCTTCCATTTGACAGCAGCCCAACAAAACACCACATTTAAAGTAGGCCAACCATTTGACAGCAGCTCCAGAGAATGTACTCCAGGCCCCCTCAGAAAACATTCTACTTGACACAGTAAGCAGCAGTTAGATACCAAAGCTACACCATAAACTTCATTACCAAAGATACACCAAAAATGCCTCCCACTACATTCTGGACAGCAACCCTTCCAGGGCAGATCAGCAAAGCCAGGGCAGAGATAAACCAAAGGAAAAAAACATAGAATGGCAGAGAAGAAAAACATGAGTCCAGGGACTGCACTTCTGCACTGAGTGGGTACACCCATAGCAAAACTCCACCCATTTCAGTTTGGGTTAGCTGCCTTAAACACACATTGATTTCTGAGTTTATTGACATTTACGAAGATAGATCCCCCTTCATTATTTTGAGTTTCCTTTGCATTTGTGCACCAATTGAACATTCACATTGCTCAAATTATGGCATGAACTAAAGCACGACCAAATTCAAGATTCTACATCAACATCTGTATCAAAATCACTTTGTAGGTCATATTCTTCGTCTGTGTCGTCACCCTCCCTCATTAATCGATCTTCATCATCACAGATGAAGGCATTATCTGTAACACCCTTTTCTACCCCTCTGACAGATTGCAAAACTTCCATGGGAATAATTTCAGAATCAATATCATCTCGACGCAAAGCCACATCATCATCAATAGCCATAGTAGGTACGACCTCAGTGGTTTCTTCTTGTTGGAACACATCATCAGGTTGCACGACATCCATCTCCGGCACATCCCAAATTCCTCGATGTTGAAACTTTTCAACGACTCTCCAACTGGTACCTAATTTGGTGTCATTAACATAGAATACTTGTTCAACTTGACTTGGTAATACAAATGAGTCATCTTTGTACCAACGACTTGTTACATCAACTGTTGTGAAATGTGGCTCTACACGCATAGTTCTACTACTACCGCTGTTAAACCATTCACATTGGAACAATACAATCCGACGTGTGAACAAATAGTTCAGTTCCCACACTCTGCACAAGTGTCCATAGAAGTGTATCAATTACCCTTCATGCTCCCCTTCCACGACTAATCCACTATTCTGACTTTTCCGACGGTTGTCACGGTCGATAGTATGATAACGGACACCATTACAAATACATCCTGAATATGTGTTCACTAAGCCACTAGGACCATTGGCTAATGACCACATATCATCAGTTGCTTCGGGGGAATGTTGGCTCCGCAATTCATTCATCTACATGAAGAACATGTGTCATGTTACTAGCATGCGTAACATTTACGTAATGTACGATCTATGGTAGGATATGAGAATAGTAGCTTACATGATCTTTGAACCATTTAGGAAATTCTTTCCGATGTTTGTTTTCGATGTCGAACGCACCGGCTTTTTGGTGTAACAAGTTCTTGTGCTCCCTAGTTACAAGAAATGCGATTCAAAAACTATTTACTAAGATAAAGACTAATCAATTTACAACAAAAACATTATAAATACGTTTGAAGGATTCATACTCTACGTGTTTATCCACTTCTGTGTTATTGTGTAGGACAAACCAATGAGCCAACTCGCGTTCAGCTACGGACACATCGGACGCCCTTGTCATTAGACTAAAAGGACGTACAGCCACGGTCACCCATGTCATAATTCCTTTCTGGGCGGTTAAACAATGTTTCAACTCCATCCAAATACATTGAACAAAATGTTGTACATTCTTTGGAAATGTAAGCCTCGGCAATAAAACCTTCAGGATGAGCTTTGTTGACCACAAACCCTTTTAGACGGCCAAGTAACCTAATTTTGCAAGCCGATGTCAATGTTACACTGCAATATTTATATCAGCAGTAAAGCATTAACTTAAATTTGACAGTAATACGAGGGCTGAGTTAATACCTCTCAATTGGGTACATCCATCGATATTGCACTGGGCCTCCAAGCATAGCCTCTCGAGGCAAGTGAATTGCCAAGTGGACCATCACATCGAAAAACGCCGGCGGGAAAAGCATCTCAAGCTTACAAAGTATGAGTACGATTTGTTCATCCAATTTATGCAAATCTGAACGCCTCAATGTCTTTGAACACAATTGTTTGAAGAAATTTCCCAACTCAAAAAGTGTCGTTCCAATTTCCTTATTAAGGTAGCCACGCATCCCAATTGGAAGAAGTCGTTGTATAAGGACATGACTGTCATGACTTTTGAGGCCAGATAATTTTCCAGCTTGAGCGTTTACGCAATTGGAGATATTTGCTGCATAGCCATCAGGGTACTTCATTGATTTCAAGAAATCACAAAAGCCTTCTCTCTCTTTCACCGACAATGTGTACAATGCGGGAGGCTTCTCAAAGGACCCATTAGAACGCCTCTTCAAATGTAACTCTTTACGTATTTTCATGTCCTCCAAATCTAAGCGTGCTTTGTCCGTGTCCTTGTTCTTTCTATCTACGCTCAAAAGTGTCCCAACGACATTGTCACATATGCTCTTCTCAATATGCATGACATCAAGGTTGTGTCGAAGCTTCAACGTCTTCCAATAGGGCAAGTCAAACATAATGCTTCTCTTGCTCCAATTCAAATTTTGATGTTCATTCCTTTGTCGTTTTCGATTTTGTGGGTGCTTTCCATACGGCTTGTAAGTCCCAGAATCAATTTGCTCTAGTACTTGGTCCCCTGATAACTCCAAAGGTTTGGACCTATGCTCCGTTTGACCATTGAAGAGCTTACTTGTTCGCCAAGTGTGGTTTTCAGGCAAGTGGCGACGAGCACCCATATACCCTATTTTACTTCGTAATCCCTGAGACGATACATTATTGTTACAATTAGGGCAAGCCAAGTAACCCTTTGTACTCCACCCTGACATGTTACCGTACGCAGGGAAGTCATTTATGGTCCACATTACCGCCGCATGCATTCTAAAAATTTGCCCGTTCGATACATCATATGTTTGCACACCATGCTCCCACAAATTCCTCAATTCTTCTATTAGTGGTTGCAAGTAAACATCAATGTCTCTTCCAGGTGCCGATCGTCCGGGAATAAGCAATGACATCATGCAATATGGCTCTTTCATGCACTTCCACGGTGGGAGATTGTAAGGCATTAAGATTACGGGCCACATGCTATATGATGTGCTCATATTCCCAAATGGATGGAAACCATCTGTTGCCAGCCCTAGCCTTACATTTCGAGAGTCATCAGAAAACGTCGGATGTTGCTTATCAAAGTCCTTCCATGCTTTACCATCGGCCGGGGGCCTTAATATGTCATCATCCACACGCTTCTCATTGTGCCATCTCATATCTGCGGTTGTTTTTTTGGACATATACAGTCTTTTCAACCTCGGTGTCAAAGGAAAGTACCGCAATACCTTGTGTGGAATCTTTTTACCACCATCATCGTTCAACTTGTATCTACACGCGTCACATGTAGGGCATTTCTCCAAATTAGCACTCTCCTTCCAAAATAGTGCACAATCATTCTTGCACGAATGAATTGTTTCATATCCCAAACCCAAGTCACGTAAGAACTTCTTAGCATCATAGAGTGTCCATGGAACAATTTGATCACATTATGGTAGAATGTCCTTGAATACTTGCATAACCATATCGAATGACTTGTTGCTCCATTTGTTGTACACCTTCACATGAAGCATCTTAATGACGAATGATAACACAGAAAACTTTTCACATGTCGGGTGAACTTTGCGTTGTGCATCTTCGAATAACCTAGTGAACTTATGCAAATCCTCCCTCTCCAAACCATTAGGTTCCTCGTCGGTATGATCATCCATAAGACCACTCACATAAATTTCTTCCAACATAATAGGCAATTCATCCATGGGCGGATCATCGATATCTGTTATACATTCGCCACTACCACCATATTGGTCATTTGATACACTAGGACGAGACATGGGAACATGTTCCCCGTGATGCACCCAAGTTAGATACGAAGATGCCATGCCTCTTCGGATCAAGTGCATCCACACAACTTGTCTGCTATATTTTGTGCCATTAATGCAATCGACACACGGACACCTAATTTCATCCTCTACGCCTAAATTTGCCGTAGCAAAATCAAGGAATGACTTCACCCCTTGTTGATACTCTTTACTTGTCAACCGATTATTTATCGTCATCCAACTCTTGTCCATTTTGTCACCTACAACTCACACAAAGATTAACCGAGGAAGCCATGAGAACATGCATTTCAAGTTGAGATAGATTAGGTTATTTTTCATTCACTGTTTGGCTTGTCACATAAATCTCTTTTAGGGTTGAACTTTATGACACGATTAGTTCTAAAACAAGTTAATTTAAGAAATGACCCGTAATTTTGGACCACTAGATAGCATAACTAGTAGAGCACTAGTACTAGTGAAACTATATGGTCAATGATAGAATGATATATCAAAATAATGAAAACCATGCCATGCTCTTCACAATGTGTGTGCATGACATGTTATTTGTTAAAAAAAAAAGTAAAGACAGAAACACATTTCCAACAGTTGGCTCTACATGGCAACTGTGCATGTCCGCAAATGCATATTCACACATGAACATTTCAGAATAGAAGCATATTAGATGTTATCAATGAGAGATGTATCTACAAAGTCATGTGAAAATCCAGAATAGAAGCATTGACAATACTCATGAACATTTCATACGGCTTAAAGCACATTTTGTAGAAAAGAGAATAAATAAGCCAGACGATGTGGAGGCAAGTTTGCTGCAAGGTAGAATTTCTCTGATATGACATACTCTTGAAAAAACTTTCTGATATGAGCATGTAATTTTGTCTCATGGCAAGTTAGTTAAGCACTCAAATTAACTGAAATTCACAGCATTGCCATTTTCGAAAGCTCTTCATGTGGCCTATTCTAGAGAATTAACATATTGAGCCTCTTTAACAATTAGATATGACGAATGCGTTACTCTGTGAAGACTTATAGGAAGAAGTATTTACAGATGTTCCACCGGGCTTTGAGGATTTCTCAGTGGATGGGAGTGTGCAAGCTTAAAAAGGCATTATATGAGTTACAAAGTGTGCTAGAGCATGATTTTAGAGGTTTACTTGGGCTATGCTTAGATGTGTTTATATCACTAAGAACATATGTTTTCGACCTTCTTAAGGACAAAGTGTGCTTGGATATAAAGCAATTGATACCATGTTGGAGCAGAATTGCATGTTAGGGGATGAAACTAAAGATTCATTTGACAGGGAGGGAGAGATATCAGAGGTTGGTTGGTAAGTTAATTTATCCATGTCATACTCACCTAGATATAGATTATGTTGTTAGTTAGCCTAGTGAGCCACTATGCATAATCCTATTATATTAGTTTATAGACTAATCCAGTACTTCAAAATAAACAGTTCAAAATTTTTACAATATTTGCATAACTTTAACAGCAAATATCAGCATCCAGCCATGCAAACTGAGATTCAAGTAGCTTGGGTTACCAAATGAAAAATGAGATGTTATTCAAATGAACAAAAACACAATGAGATGCATTCATATTTGTTATAATTCAGTTAGAAATAGATGATGTTGCACAATGGAAGAAATGCTCTACAAATTTACAAGAAAACTAAATGCAACTAACACATTGTAAATCAATATAATCAAAAAGCACTGTTATGCAAATTTGAAGTATATATTTGAAACAATTAACTAGTGAATACAAGTTCAAGAAGCATACATACAAATGCAAAGCAGAAAACACAAACTCCAAGAACAGGACATGTAATGTGTACCTGTTATTCTATTTGATTATTCTTTGCTTATTTCCAAGAGCAAAAGGGATAAATTAACAAGCATGAATGCATTTACAAAACACAGCTCTCTTTTGATAGATTATCCAAGAATGTCACCGCATCCTTCAACAATAGCAATCATGATGAGATAGATATAGACACAGATAGATATCTTTTAGCAACGACTTGCACCCAATAACCCCATAACAGAACCCCAGTTGTCTCCACTACTCCATACTGCATTTGGCACAGCAGAAGAGCAATCAAAAAAATAAATAATTAAATAAAATAATAAGAATAAGAATAAGAATAAGAATAAGAATAAGAATAAAAGGATTAGTTTGGTCTTGGAATATAGTATTCAACCTTTTGATGGCTGCTCAATCCAAGGGCCATTCATTATGGTCAAAATGCTACATGCCTCGCTATATTCCAGGTCTGGCAATAGCTTTGGCGTAAGTAAGAAACACCTGAGAGATTGTGCCAAAAATATCAGTTTTGAGTCATTTCTAACATTTTGGGAACAAAAAGAGGCACTACCGCCTTTTTTTATCTGAAGCAAGAGAAGTCAAACACAATTCTTTTAAAAAGCAGGATAGAATGGCTAAAACAAATATCCCTTCCACAGGGTACACAAATGTATGCAATATTTTGCATTCAGTTAATATGTCAAGTCTCTATTGAACTAAAATTCATACTACTTCAGAGGTTTATGCACTTGAAAGCTTAACAAACAACTTTTTAACACCAAAACAATATGAAGATCACCCTTCAAACCTAGTAGCATGCAGAACATTTTAGAAAAATGAGAAAGTAGGAAAAGAACAAGCAAAGACAGCATGACTCTAGTGTCAACCAAGCAACAAAATTGCGTTTCTTTTCCATCAAAACAACCAAAATGTTTCAATTTAATGGGACCCCAACACGAAACAAGATGGGAAGACAGAAAATCAAAATTCTCAGATATCTACTAAATTGTACTAAAAGACAATGAAACACACCAATAAAATGAGTTGTGTCAACCCCATCAGGCATCTTTTACATATGTTAGTTTCTATTTTTAGTTTCTATAGATACTTTCCAACCTACTGTATGTCATAGACACAAGTGATTACATGTGCCTTACAAATCAGCATATAGACCAACACGACTTCAAGGACCATGTGTACAGTCTACTTGTTCATCCAGGCTAAATGGGCTTAAAGGACCAACATCACTTTGTGTGTGCTAGGGCGTGTACTTCATCATTATAGAGCTTGCCAACTTGACATCCCACGGGAGTTGGGATTCTATTCGGTTAGGATTTTGGCAGATTTTCACACCAAACCAAACTTCTCAGTTTGTTGTTTTTATGGGCCAAACTGACCGCACAATGTAAACAACAAAACAGAACACTGGTTTTTGGGGCTGAATACCCATTGCATTGCCTTGTATAATTGAGAGCTATAATCCCTGGTAGTTACACCTTATACTAACTTAAATCACTGGTGATATTTGAACAAAAATAAAGCAATGCAAAATATAACATGCAAGCCCTTCAGGCACAGCACCTTCCGCCTAACTTTGCCTTAAGTAGTCGCGAACCTTAAGCACACCAAGCTCGGCCTTCTTTATGTTGCCTCGCCTAGCCACGCGGAAGGTGCTGGGCTAGTGTTTGGCTGCATTTTGCAACTAGGAGCACGCCTAAGCATGACTTTTATTACAATGAAACAGGTTAAGAGTTATACCACTTAAACTCAGATTTGTTTTCTTAACAAGAGAAGAATGTCAAAGCCCTAGGCTTTTTGACGCTCACAAATCAGAATAACGAGGGAGGGCCAATTGGAGAAGATGATGGATGAAGGAGGCTGCAATGGTTGACGACAAGGCTATAAAGGTGACGGAGCATTTTACAAATAGCATACTTACCGTGGGAAGTTAAAACTCCAATGGATTGAAACCATCTGTTGCCAGCCCTAGCCTTACATTTCGAGAGTCATCAGAAAACGTCGGATGTTGCTTATCAAAGTCCTTCCATGCTTCACCATCGGCCGGGTGCCTTAATATGTCATCATCCACACGCTTCTCATTGTGCCATCTCATATCTGCGGCTGTTTTTTTGGACATATACGGTCTTTTCAACCTCGGTGTCAAAGGAAAGTACCGCAATACCTTGTGTGGAATCTTTTTACCACCATCATCGTTCAACTTGTATCTACACGCGTCACATGTAGGGCATTTCTCCAAATTAGCACTCTCCTTCCAAAATAGTGCACAATCATTCTTGCACGAATGAATTGTTTCATATCCCAAACCCAAGTCACGTAAGAACTTCTTAGCATCATAGAGTGTCCATGGAACTGTTGGATCACATTCTGGTAGAATGTCCTTGAATACCTGCATAACCATATCGAATGACTTGTTGCTCCATTTGTTGTACACCTTCACATGAAGCATCTTAATGACGAATGATAACACAGAAAACTTTTCACATGTCGGGTGAACTTTGCGTTGTGCATCTTCGAATAACCTAGTGAACTTATGCAAATCCTCCCTCTCCAAACC